TAGCTCATTATTTCAGGTATCAGCTAAAGCTTGTGGCTGAGTTTTAACCCCACGCTCCTCATTTACTTTCTTTTAACAACCTTGAGAGTAATTTTGAAACTCTCAGCACGGTCCAGTGTTCAGGAAGGTCTTTCACACAGGGACAGGGACCCAATGGAGAGAGCATCATGCACCCTCAAACCGTACTGCAAGGGCATTGGGTCTACAGCCTGGCCCGCACCTCTCTGAACAACGCACCCAGCTCATGTGAGGAGGGATCCATTTGTTGTGTAGCTGTGTTTTTGGGCACTAGTGATTCTCGTTAGTGGCTGGTGACTCAAGTTGTTCTATGGTTCTGTGACTGGGAGGAGGAGAGAAGTATCTCAAACAGGTGGCGGCGTGCACAGCTATGTGCTGTTTTCTTATAACTGCAGCAGGGAGGAAAATGAGCAGTCAGCGAAGCTAGGAGACAGTGTGGGCTTCAGAAGTAATTATATGGAAATGTTCATCTCCGTTCACAATATAATGAGCTAAACAAGGTACCCAGCCACTTCTGTAGCTAAATCTCTCCTTTGCTACAAAACTCATTAATTTAAGTCTTGAGGAGAGGGAAGCTTTGTTTTTTTCTTAATCACCAATTCTTGTGTGTCATTTTTAGCTTGTTTTAACTTACGTGCTTCTTCTGGGATGTGACAAAATCTTGTCTGCGGACTAGTTTCCTTGGGTAAATGTTCATGCTGAACTTTTTCTTTCCATCTACCTTTTATACTAGTTACGCTGGTTGGGACCCAAGGCATTTCCTGGGGAAATTAATGACTGGCTGGGGTTAATGGCCCACGGCACGGCCCCCAGTCATTGGCTCTCCCAGCTGGTCATTAATCCCCAGGAAATGCCTCGGCTCTCTAATCGTGGTTGCTTCATTATAAACAAAGACTTTCCTGGCCATTTTACTGAATGCATCTTATCAAGCCATGTGGTGCTAAATTCTGCTGTTGACAAATATCACTGATTCCCTGAAGTTGGTTGTGTTGGCAGCTATCCTTCCAGGGGTTGCACACTGCTGTCCCACAGCAGTGTATGGAAAAGGTTAAGCAAAGGCACTAAACTGAAGGTACTGAATTTGCTCTGAGTATGAGCTTCAAACAATCTGAGCAGAGATGCTGCTTTTGCTCTTTTTTATTGTGGCTGCTGTGTTCTTTAAGTTTCAGCCCCGGGATGAGTTGTTAACACTTGATTTGCAGGAGCCTCCTTCAGAATTGGAAAAGATGCTTTGAATGATCATCTTGATCCTTAGGTTGCAGCCGTGAGAGCTGCATTATGCAGTGTGCTTTAAGCACACTGTGCCATCTTGGCACAACTTGCTTTTCAGTCCTCGTTTGCTCTGAAGTGTAGCAATTTTCTTGCCACTGACAGCAGTGTTTCAGCTCAAGTTGATGACAGAGGGATGTAATTTGGCTGTTGTTCATCTCTCATGGTACTGAAAGATGAACAATAGCTGAAGTTTAAGCTTTTGATGCTGCAATGTGGTGGTAGCTGTTGAGATTTATAGGCCTGGTACATGCTGAGCTTCCTACAGTAGTAATTCCCAAAAATAGGTCTAAGGAAATAGTTCAGCTTCCGCTGTGGGTGAACAGAGTCGCGGGTCGCTTCAGTATTCTCCTGTCATGTTGGTCTGTAACTCAGTGCCTGACAGCTTGTGGAGAGTTTATCAGCTCTTAAATGACCAGATGTTCAGAGGATGTCACAAGCATGGCCCGTGTGCTTTTGTCTTGGGTGTTTTGGGGAGTGCTTCGGTGTTTTTTTGCTGGTTTTAACCCAAGGCTGGTTTTTTTTTGTTTGTTTTCTTTTGATTTTTTTCACTGCCTTACACTTTCTTTGAAGGGCTTTCTTTGACCAGACCCAGAAATCTTGTACTGACTGCAGAAGGCAGAATAGTATTACATGATGAAATAATTAGACAGAAATCACAAATGGCAGCAAATCAAAGCAATTAATACATTAGTCTAGCTCTCTTCATTACGTTTTTCTCTTAGAAGTGGGTGACAATCTTTACCTTTGGTGTGAGGATGTCCCATGTTTCCAAAAACTGCCACAAAAGAGGCTCCTGTTCTGCATAAGCTGTTACAGTGCTCTGCCAAGAATCATCACCAGGAGCTTTCCATGTGTGCAGTATAGGAGAACTCTTCAGAAAGCATCAGGAATACTTAGGATCAGAAAGCATCAGGAATACTTAGCAGTGTTAGGAAGCTAGGCTTTATTTCTGTGTGGATAATAGGTGGACCAATATTCCTGTCTCAGCGGCTTAAAGTACAGCTGCTACTGAGACTGGTGATTGCAAAATGCCTTGTTAATTCTTCTGAAAGTGCATCTGTTTATTTAGCTTTCCAGGTTAGTTTTGGTTACACCATATAGTGGTGTTAGTGCCATCCCCTTTCATTGGTAGATTAGCAGAGCTTGCAAGATGTACTTCATGTCTGTTCTAAAAGAAACACTGTTAAAATCTATAAGTGAGGATAAAAGGAATGTAACATTGTACCTGCTTTTGAGGCTGTTTGTTTCTTGGTTGATTTTTATTTTTTTCTTGAAAGGAAAAAGTTTCTTCTAGTAGAGTTACATATGTAGGAAGACAGTTGCAGAAAGGATGTGTTATAGCTGCTAGTCATCAAAGCTGCTCTTAAATCTGGGGGAGGGGAGGCAGATGAAGCACATATTGTCCCTAAATCTGATGTCCTTAACAGTCTCCATAGCAAAACCTTGGCTATTGTTTATTCAGTGTACAATCCATGCTGTTCGTAACTGTGAATTTTTCTAAAGACCAGTCATTGAACAGAGCTGTTTTGTTGTTTTGAAAGTGGAAGGATATCCTAAACTATGATCCTTATAACCAACCTGAGGTTAGGCAGAGATGAGTGCAGGGAATGAGAAGCAGAACAGAGAAGAAGCTCAGTGGCCTCCGTAGGCTCTGGGGGCTGTGTGTGCATTGGAGTGCAGGATGGGAGCTGCTCCTTCTTCTCTTCCACTTGAGGCAGCTGGTGGGGAGGGCAAGATGTGCTCCAAGGTGACCTGGGGTGAATTTCTTAGATGTGAGAATGGCATTTTGTTGCACACGTAGAATTTGGATTTTGGAGTCAAATACAGTTGCTGTATCAACTTAGTTGCATTGGTGTGATGTATGTACCTGTTTCAGGTGGTGTTTTCTACCAGCAGCATGTAAGTTTTTATAAAGTTTTTACTTTTTAGAAGTTGGACTCCATTTAGTTATTTACATCATGTGAAGTAGTCAGAAACTTGCCTAGTCCAGCTTTGGGTGAGAGGAGTGCCAGAGATGATCCATTTCATGTAAGTCAAATGAAGATGACCTTTTACATACAATTAGAGGGGAGACAGTGTCATTGAAGCACTGCTGTATTTTGACACTTCTGCAACTCTGTAGAACCCCAAATGAGTAAGTCGGTACTCTTCCTCTGTGAGCATCAAAGGGGAACTGCACAAACTTATAGGCAGCAGTTGTTTTTTTCTAACAGGAAAGTCTTCCATGATTATCCTGTAAAAGATTTCCCATTGCCCACTGCTCTCCTGCTAGAGAGCAAGAGATCAGAAACTGTTTGGTCTAATTGGTGAGTCTGTGTGACAGCGAGCTGCCTTATTTCATGTGTGGTGTAGAAATAAATGAGTGCTTAAACCCTTTGAAACACACCACTACTGCACAAGCCATAGGCTGTAATTAAATTGAATGTGGGGTTGTATTGTCTTGTGCCCTTGGCTATAAACTTGATAACAGACCATGGTACACCCACTATTGTGTTAGAAGCTGGAACCTAATTAGCAATGTTGTAGATTTTCAGTCACTTTCGAAGCCCTTCTGTTCATCCCTTTCCTAGTGTCCTTTTTTTTTTTTTTCTTATTATTTTGCTTTTCTGTTTCTGAAGCAATAAAAGCATCCTGTTTTTCGAAGGAAATTATTGAGGGCATGTAGCCAAATATGTACGTGGAAGATAATTTTTTATCGTATTTTGGATTGAAGGGACAAGTGTTAGTGACTGCGTTCTATCTGATGTAGAAGAGATTTATTAATGTTGTGATAGTCAAAATATATAATCACATTTTCAGGGAATGCTTTGTAAGCCCCTCTCAGGCATTTAAGGGGGGAGGAGGGAAGGGATTGCAACTTCTCACAATACCTTGATCTGAAAGTAACGTTGAAAGACATGAGATTGAAGTCTGCTCTCGTTGTTATTTTGAGATTATCCACGTAGAAAAATGGCTCTTCCAGGCTTTTAGAAATTCACATGCTTTTGCACTCAGCCAATTTTAGTGAGTTGATCTGAAAACCTTCAAACTTGCTAGGGACTTAATCCCTAATGAGGACAAGTGCTTTGATCTGTTCTTAGTGCCATTTTTAATTTAGGAAATAAAGTTAGAGCACGCAGATGCAGCATGTACATTTCCAGTAAATTCTTCATTAATTGATATGCTTACTGATTGCATGTGTCTGTACTCTTCTGTACAGATAGTTTCAGTTCTAGCACAGTACTCCATCTCCATCCTTCCTCCTTAAGCATACACACCAGTGTCTGGTGATGCTGTCATTTATTTGAGTTCTGCTGTTTTTTATATGGGGAGTGGGAGGCTGTGAAGTTGCAAGTGTTGCATTTGGGATCTCTAATGAAAGGGCTGCAGCTCCTGGGCTGCCCTGTAAATTGGCACCTGTGTATGCTGTTGCTACTTTTGCATCTCTCTGCCAGAAGCATAGTGCATAAATGAATGACTTCTCTAAAACGCCACTGTATTTTAAGCTCCTCTTTTGTGTGTATGTCCGTTTGCGTGTTTAAAATTAAGGACTTCTGGAGAAATTTCAAGAGTGATTTTTCAGTACCCTTGAGCTGAACCCTGAGTTGTTTCTAAGTGCACATGTATAGAGATATGTATTTGTGTGTGTAATGGATGCGTATGCATATGCTGCTTTTACTGCTGTTGATTTCTTTCTGTGTGTTTCTAGTATGCTTCAAAAGTGGCAGGGAATAGTCAGAGGGAGTACTCAGCACTGGTGAGGCTGCACCTTGAGTACTGTGTTCAGTTTTTGGGTTGCTCACTACAAGAAAGACATTCAGAGAAGGGCGATGGTGCTATGAAGGTTTTGGAGCACAAGTCTCATGGGGAGCAGCTAAGGGAACTGGGATTGTTCAGCCTGGAGGAGGCTCAGGGAAGACCTTATTGCTCTGTGCAACTCCCTGAAAGGAGGTTATGGTGAGGTATGTTTCAGCTTCTTCACCCAGGTAACAGCAATAGGAGAGCAGTAATGGTCTCAAGGTGCACCAGGGGAAGTTCAGATTGGGTATTAGGAGAAATTTCTCTGCAGAGTGGTGAGGCAGTGGCACAGGCTGCCCAGGGAGGTAGAGGAGTCACTGTCCCTGGAGGTGTTCAAGAACCGTGTGGATGTGGCAATGAGGGACGTGGTCAGTGGGCATGGTGGTGATGGGCTGATGGTTGGACTGGGTGATCTTAGTGGTCTTTTCCAATCTTAAAGATTCCATGATTCTGTTAAGGTCCAGTACCATAGTCCTGACCCCTTGCTCTGAGTTTGAGTTACTAGCTGTGAAGCCCATGCCCACCTCTTCAGTGTGAGCTCCTATTTTACACTCACAAAACAAACTTGTGCATTGTTCCTTTAGTCTTTGTCTTGGATATCACAGTAGATAGCTAGGAAATTAATGCAGACCATGTTTGCTGTGTTTGGGAGATGATACTTTCTCTAGGCTTTTATCAAGTTGGTGTGGAAACGTGTTGCCTTTTTTCTGTAATTGTATCACCAGTTAATGGAACTGTCCCTGCATCCAGTCTGGACATGGTTCACATTTTACTCAACTGTTGGAAGTGCATTTTAGTGGGAAGAAGTAAAGAGATGCTGAAAGCATGTGGGTTTTTGGGAAGTAATTGCTTAGTAAATAAGCCTGTTAGTATCTGTATACTTTCTGTTTCCTTTTAACTTCGCAATGCTGAAGCATACATTTTGCTGACTATATCTCTGAAAATGCAGCTTCTCAGAAGAATTACCTTGTCTTTCTAAAAATACATATAAATGGGTGACACAAAAAAACACAGTAATTGGCAAATTCCAGGACTGTGAGGGCTGGAAAAGCACCTGTCCTTGCAGGCAGAGGGAATGGTGCAAAGCTGTGTGGTCTCCGTAGAACAGACTGATGGTGGTGGGAATAAGATTTGAAAAATGTGAAGTCTTGGAACGTGTATTCTTCAGCCATGGTTTAGGTGTCTTAAAAAAAAAAAAAAAAAAAAAAAAAAAAACAAGTCTGGAAAATTGGCTTGGGAACCTGTTCCCTCTCCAAACCCCTATGTGAAGGTTTGACTTTTATGACAGGGACACAAGTTTAACTCAAAGCAGGGTTCTGCCTGCCTTGTTTAGTGCATTTGATGCGCTTCCAAAATGACCTGATTTCTGTTTCTATCTCTGGAAGTCCTTGCAGGTTACCATTTATTTATTTAAAGCATTGTTGAAATGCACCTGCATCTGTCAGCTGCTTTCAGAGAAAACATTGCAGGTCTTCTTGCTGCTGCTTAAGCAGGACCTGGATACCAGTGTTTCCTCTGAAAGGACTTCTGGACACAAGCTACTCCCTTCCTTTTAGGTTGTAGGGAAGTGCCAGAAGTGAGGCATGCCCCAAAGCATCAAGTAACAGCTATGCTCATTTTAACCAGTACGGAGTTGTTAAAATATGAATCAAGCTTAAATGTGGTGACTCAGATAATATTAAATGTAGTGTGAATTGCATTCTAATGCACTGCATTGGTAAACACAAGTAGCACTACACTGAGATGTGAATGGCCAAGAGTATCTATATGGTATAGTGGAAGAGAAATGAATGCTTTTTTTTGTTTGTTTTTTTGTTTGTTTGGTTGGTTGTTTTTTAAGTTTGCTGTGGTATTTGATAGAGAAGGATTCCTCAGAAGGGGAGTTATAACAAATCAGTTTTCCTCAGTGTAGCATATTAACTTGCAGACTGCTGATAGATCTATGCAGGATGATGAATAATAATAGCAGGCTCAATCATGGTGTGGGGTAGTGATACAGCAGTGACTGCTGCAGTCATGTAGCGTGAATGGAGGCTGCATGTTAGTTGTGTTATAGAGAGATAGTAAGGCATCAGATCAAATCCATAATTTGTCCAAGGTAGAAGTGGCTGATGTATATTTCATATACGTAAATTCGTAAATATTTAATATCATATACAAGAGCTTCTCCGGAAGTAATGCCTCCTATTCTTTGATGCTGGACCACAAAGGCAGAGGTGAATGTTGGTGTTGGCCCCTCCAGAGCCTCTATGTCTTTTTGTAGTGAGAGACCCAAAAACTGAATGCGGTACTTGACGTGCAGCCTCACCAGTGATGAGTACAAGGGGATGATCACCTCCTGCTCCCAGTGACTATTCCCTGCCACTTTTGAAGGATACTAGAAACACATAGAAAGAAATCAACAGTTGGAGATGTGACAGTTGAGGTTGATTCTGTATTCAGTTTCATGTTGTTGCCATGTGACAGATGGCAGCAGAGGGGCAGTCTGACAGAATGGCATCTGATGTGGAAGTTCATATGAAGCAAAGATGTGCCATTGAACTTCTTCATATGGAAGAAATGGCACCTATTTGTTGATGCTTGTTGAGTGCTTATGGAGACCAACCAGTGGCTGTGAGCACAGCAAGGTGGTGGGTGCTACATTTCAGCTGTGGCAACAGTGACAGTGGGTCACCTCCACTGGAGCAAATTTTTATGAGCATGGCATGTAGACTCTTGTTCATTGCTGGAGACAAAGCATAACAAATGGTCGTGACTGTGTTGAGAAAGAGCGTTTTGTAGCTGAGAGTTTTTTTCTATCAAATAGTGTTGTTGCAGTCTATGTATCTGTTGTAGTTTCTGTGGAAATAAATAGGAAGCATTACTTTCAGAGTGACCTATGTGTTCATGAAATATACTTTTTATTATATAAATATTTCTATTTATATATAAACGTATGTATTTACATTCTTATATATATGAAACATACTTATACATAGCATAAATAATACAAATATATTTAAATTATGTACTGTAATACTATAAAACATGTGCTCTCTCTTTTTCTCTATACATGGATATATATAGTAGTAGATTAGATTTCACAGGGCCCATGTCCACATTCTTTCTAAAGGAGAAAGCAGAGCAAACAAAAATTCCTTCCGTGCTGCTGTTTGAACAGTGACCGAGGAGCCCTGCCCTGGGGACATGGGGCACCAGCAGCAGGCAGCCTGAGCCCCCTGAGGGTTTTCCTCCAGAAACGTAAACAAGTATTGTAGAGAAACCCTAAAACATTCTCATTTTTTTCCCCTACTGTTTATAGAAAACAAAAAGCTCCAAATCAAACACATGGTCTGAAAACTTTTTATTCACTTTAAAGGCAATGGTGTGATGTAATTGTTACCTAAGAGAGGGAGGAGAGCAGAGGTGAGTGCTCCAACCTACCCAGAAGTAAGCAAGTAGAGTTAAATAATGGGTCCAGCTGGGCTGTGGGGCAGAATTTGGGGGCAAGGAAAAGAGATGGAACTGAGGAATAAGGATGAGAAGGTGAGAAACCATTACCACCTACCTTATTGTAACCTGTCAGGTATGGACTAGATTTCATTTCTGTATGCCAGTGTACATCCACTGAGTCCATTGGATGGGTTCAAAAGGTGGGAAATAATGTCTCCGAACTGGGGCTACAACTAGAGGAGGAAATTTAGATTAAAAAATTTGTCCTTCCTAATACTAAATAACATGTATAGAGGGCAGTAAAGCAAGATTTGATCAAGGAAAAGATAGAGCCAGGGAGTGGCAACGAAGAATGGTTTGCTTTATTTAAAGTAGAAATGCTAGAGGAAAATGTAGAAGTAGAGTAGAGGGGGAAAAATCTTGGTGTTCTTCAATTTCCAAGTTAGTTACAAGAAGCTGAGTGTGACTTAAATTGAGTACGCTGTATTACTGCCTCTTATGGAAATCAAAACCTGAAGATTTTTTTTTCCTTAACCTTAAAAAAAGTTGTGTTTAAAGTAGTGGTTGCCTTTAGAGTTCTGTTTTACAGTAAGTGCTGGTTCTTGGGTATGTATCCCAAAAGGGATCTGCTGTCAGCACTGTGGTAGCGCAACGTGGAAGCATTGTGCTTGCTTTTATTCCTAATGGCCAATAAACGAGTTTCGTCAAGCTCCTTGAAATACTCCTTGTAAACTCAAGTGTCCAGATCAATCTCTCATTCACATCTTATTAAAGTTCAGTGAGGAAGTCGGGCAAACAGGGTTTTGATCAAAGCACTGTGTGCTGGTGACGTACCCCATTAGTCTTTAAGCTTCTTCATATAATTCCTCAAGAGAACTCCAGTGGATTTTCTCCTCTAAAGAAAGCTTTCCCCCACCCAAACTGGTTCCAGCAATGAGGTGGGAGCATGTGGGTCCCCAGAGGGATGCAAGAATAGGATGCAACGTATGGGCTGTGGCCCTGCTTCTCTTGTGCCTATCTGGCTTGTGGTTTTCTAGTGAAATGCTAGCATTGTTTAGTCCCTGTGATAAATGGCTATGTGCATCCAAAATTACTTGTCTATACTGTTCTGTTCTGTATGTTAATGCCTGCGTTCTCATTGTGCAGTCAGTTCATGTTACGTATCACAGCTTTAAATGCTTCAGTGATGTGCTTAATCAAAACATGTTGGTTTTGCCCCTAAAGAAACAATTGCAGGGTCCTAGCTCCAAGAAGGCAGGAATTTCTTGTTGGTTCTGTTGGTGGATGGCTGGATGCTGGCTTTCAGCAAGTAATTCTTTAGAAGTAGTTAAGCTGCTATCATACAGCAGTCCATTTTTCTTAAACCTATTTTAAACTTTTATACAGTCTCTTTTCAGATCTCTCCTCTATCAAGTTTCTGCTTGTGCATCTCGATGAGTAGAAGACCTCAGAACAGTATTTACAGCATCTGCTTCTGTGCTTTATACGTGTAACTGTAACAAGATGCCCAACCATGTGCTGCATTATAACTTTATTCAAGGAGAGGAGTTTATCTGCTCTGCTTACCCATGGCAGGCAGATGCCTTGAGCATTGCTGCAAATCAGCAGCTTTGTTTTGGAGGCACTGTTGAATATGTTGTTTTTGTTGTGCAATTTGAATAAAAGCTGTGTTTTGCTGTGGGGAAAATGAAGCCCACAAGAAATAGCCATCACAACACAGAACCTCCCTGCAGCCAGTGTGACCATCACCTAGGTGTAAGGTTGTGCTTCAGGAGCTAGGGATAGAAGTGCTGGAGGTGACTGAGAAAGCTGATAAGAGATGTTAATCAGTATCATCAGCAATTTTAGCCCAAAGCAGGGTGGGGAAGGAAGTCCTCAGCAATGATAATGGGAAATTGTTAGCTGTTCTTTGCCCTCCTGAGGCCCCAGCTGGAGCAGTGCATCCAGTCCTGGGGCCCCCAGCACAAGAAGGATGTGGAGCTGTTGAAGCGTGTCCAAAAGAGCACCAGGGCCATGAAGATCATCAAAGGGATGGAGCACCTCTTCCATGAAGAAAGGCTGAGGGAGCTGCATTTGTTCAGCTTGCACAGGAGAAGGCTTCAAGGAGTCCTCATTGCAGCTTTCCATTACATGAAGGGAACTTTTAAACAAGAGAGAGTCCAGCTTCTTATATGGTCTGAGAATGATAGGACAAGGGGAATGGCTTTCAACTAGAAGAGGGGAGATTTAGGTTAGATATTAGGTACAAATTATTTACTCAGAGGGTGGTAAGGTGTGAGCTGCTGGGTGGCAGCCCTGCCCATGGAGGTGGGAGAGACTGGATGGGTCCCTTCCAACCCAACCCATTCTTTGACTCTTAAAGCAGTTTTCTTGTGATTTACATGAAAGGTAGCAGTGTCAGTTGGGATCCTAGTAGAGTGTCCTCCCTCCTGGCAGAGGAGTCCAGCACGAATGACACTAATTGTCACCTTTGCTGGCAGCGAGGCTGAGAGGAGGAGCTGCCTCTGTCACCAGCAGTGAGCTCCCCTGTGATGAGCTGGCTGTGACTCTGCCCCCACCACACTGCCATCAGGGTGTCCTGCTGGGCTGGAAGCAGGATGTAAGCTAAAAGCAGTGGGCTCCTGCACCAATTTAAGTGGAAAAGCAAGACTAATGACCAAATTTGTTGTCTTCATGGTTTTTACTTGCCCTGAAAAATAGCGATTTGCTTCTCTATCCTCCTGGCTTTACCATCTCCTCAATATAACTTATCTGACTTTTACTGATGGCTTCTTGTGCCTGATCATTTCTTAATGAAGCAGGGGGGCTATACTTTATTCTGTCCTGCACAAGCTTCTTTTTGTCACTCATTCTTGTTTTCCTTCCACTCTGTTTCCACTCCAGGCAAAAATTATTTCCAGCTGAGAAGGGTTGGATGCGTGTCATTCCACCGCAGTTGTAAAAGGCCCCACAGTTTTGCTTGCAAACATCAGAACTCATTTTGCCTGTGTGCACATCCTGTATTCTCACCTTGAGTGTACGTGAGGGAGGTCATTCAGGGCTGGACCCTGGGGCTGTCTGTTCCAGTGCTCCCATCCCTAGGCCAGTGACCAGGAGCAGGTGTCTGCGGAGACTAGGAAATGGGCAGGGAGGGCATGCTTGTGGTGGTCTCAGGTGCTTCTCATGTGGGTGTTATAAAAACACCAATTTCCCTCTGAGGTATAAATGACATTCATAATGAAAAGATCAGATATTAACACAATAGCGTTCAGTCTGTGGGATGAACGGACCCCTTTGCATTTTCTTCTCAATCTGTTTTGATGGGAATGTTGATTGCAGACAAGGTAAACTTGTTTGTGCTTTGTTCATTAATAACAAACCATAAACTGGCCTGCCTCCCCTCCCCACAGGCAAGGCACTTGAAGAGATGCCAGACAATTAAACTACTTAAGGCAGTAATTACAGTCAAATATACAACAAAAATAAAATCACTGCACAGGGTTTTTTTATTTTTTTTTTATGCTTGGTTTTGTTCTCTCTATTTATTAAACCACAACTCTTGCCTCGCGACTGAACAGGAATCTCTCAGTCGGTGGTACCAAAGGACCGAAGTTCAGAGAAGCTGTGGTGCCCCATCCCTGGAGGCACTCAAGGCCAGGTTGGATGGGTCTATGGGCTGCTGAGCTGCTGGATGGCAACCCTGCCCACAGCACGGGGCAGAACTGGGTGGGCTTTGAGGTCCCTCCCAACCCAAACCATTCTGTGAAGGTTCGTGAAGTGCACAACAAGCTTACCTGGGTTCAGCTTGGCATTTAGCAACCTCATTGATGGTCTTACAACACATTCTTCACAGCACTGAAATTCTGCTTGTTTGAGGCATTTGTTCAGTTTATAGGGCTGGCACCTGCCTGACTCTTAGTAAGAGTGTGATACCAATGGTCTCCTGAAACTTTTCCTTTCTGACTTTCCTAATTCCTCTTGTACATGGCAGAGCGTTCCTCAGTCTGCTGTGATGCTGAGGAAGGGAAGGTTGAATGAGGCTGAATCACTTAATCCTGACTTAGCTTCAAATATTTACCTGTACCTGGTGCATTTTAAAATTCCAAAATAAGCGTCCACATGCCTGACTTGCTGTGAGCCTGTTTAATGAGTTGGAGTCCTGCAGCACTGTGTGCACCAGTTCAACATATTTAAGTGAAATTCTTAGTGACTTCAGTATTCCAGATAAAGTACACTTTAAAAAGAAAGAAACGGAGCTGTAATGAGATCCAGCTGGTGTACATAAACCTTTCACATTGCATTACATAATTAAGTTGGGAAGTAATGTATGGGGGAAAGTTCTTGTTGCTTATTCTTTTGTACTGAAGTTTTACAAGGCTGTATAAATACTGTAAGTATTTAATGGGGGAAAAGCAGGATTAAAAGCAAACGGCAGAAGATGGATTGTACGACAACGTCATAAAACAAGCGAGCAGTATTACCCTTGTGGTATTTGGTATTAAATAACTGAAACTTGGCAGTGTGCTGTGCATTGACATTGCTCTCATAAGATCGTTTTCTAATTGATCGCTTTGGTTAACATGATTGCTTTAAAGGTAAATTGGTTTATGCTGAACAATACCAGAGCGCAAATTCCCTCTGGTTTTGGCCAGCCTTTTTTATTCAGTGAAATCTACACCGCTGCGGCATTCAAAGCAGGGTATGAGCTCCTGGGCTCCTTACCATAACTTAACAACCTGTTCTGCTTTTAACAAACTGTAATTACAGAAACATAAACTACATCTTCATTTATTTCGACTGTAGAGCATGGGAGAGGAATGTGGGAAGGAATTCTTTGTACCGCTGTGAATTTAGTTGCCTACCTTGCAGTTGTTTCATAAACATCCTCGAAAGCTTCTGAAAATACTGAATGTGGAATGTGCCAAAAATGGTTAAAACTCCAGACTCTGTCCTCTGGCAGGCAAGCCCTGGCAAATCTTAGCTTGATGCTGCTGCCCTCGGCTGCCCTCCTTTGCAGAAGGCTTTTGCTCCCTTGCAGAGTCAGCAGAACGTACCTGGGCTTCAGCAGCTGCACCAAGCCCTGGTCAGCGGATTTTATGGGGCTGCCCTTGTCGCTGGGGATGGGCACTGGGCTGCCCAGCTGGTGACGGGGCATGCATGAGGCACGGGCACGTGGTCAGCTCTGCAGGCACTGCCCCAGGGCAGTGACCCCAGGGAGAGGAGCGGTGAGAAGGAGCCGTCCCAAATTGCACAGCTGTTTGCTGAGTGATGGTGAGTCGGAGCCCTCAGCTATCCTCATTTAAAAAGGGTGGTCAGGCATGTATCGTAGCAAATTTAAAGCTTAGGCTGTTGTTCTGGTGAGAAGTCTAATTTACCATAATTGCCTTTTTTTTAATAATGAGCTGATCCATTTGAGATGTCTCAATAACCATTACCCAGTTAAGATGATGGCTTAATTTGGAGTTGCTGTTACGAGTGTGGGCACGCTGGCCTCAAGCTGCTCGGTCTGGGCACTGCGGTGTGATGCTTTAAGTCTGCCGAGAGTGACTTTTGAACTATACAGAAACTTTCACTGACTTGCATGGGAGCTGTTCAATGAGAGGTGAAAGGAGCACTCAGGATATGAGTGAATACAAATATCTTCTGGTTTTGTGGTTTTGTAAGTTCCCATAAATCAGTCAGCAAGTTCCCAGTCATTGTGACAACCGCATGTCCCGTGCTCGGGCACTGCAGCTGCCACAAACTCCAGCAAAGGCTGCAGTCAGCCCATAAAGAGCAGCAAGGCAGAGGAGTGGCATTTAAAACACAGGGCACAATCTGACAGATTTCTGCCTTGTTTTTTTATTCAGACTGTCAGTGCACCAGCAGATTCTTAGAACCACCCTCTCTTTCCTCCATGCCCCCCACCTTGCTGCTTAAATCAAGCAACAGAAATCCACAGAGGGATTTTCTGGGAGAAATGAGATGAAAGCTTTTATGGGCTTTCATAAGGATTTCATAGAATTACAGAATGGCTTCAGTTGGAAATGACCTTAAAGATCATCCAATTCAAACCTCCTGCTGTGGGCAGGCAGAAGATTAGACTCACTATTTTGTACTGCTTGATCTAAGAAAATGCTTGTGTTAATGAGCATTCATGGTGAAACATGGAATAGAAGTTGGTTAGAAGAGGAAGTGGGATGATCTGTGAGTCCCTACTTTCCTCAGTCTGCTGCAGGAGCTGGGGTCCCTATGGGGCAGCAGTCAGTTCTGCTGCTTCCTGACCTAAGTGGGACAGATCCCTGTCCAGGGACCTGGACCTACCCTGGTTGGGTAAGACTGGGGAGTCTGCAGCTCAAACAAGGCGCTTTGTTCCGCATTGTGAATGCACTGATTAAACCTCTTAGTTAGGAGACTGGACATACTGATATTCTTTCCCTCTTTTGCATTGCACAACAGTACAGACACCCAGACATCTGCGAGCTAGCAGATTTGATCTGTGTTCCTAAGGATTGTGAAATTCTGGTTGTATATAAATTTGCTGTCTGAATTTGAAGCATGATTTATGACGGGTGCCTTGCCTCTTGTAGTTAGCATGACTTCCCTTTCTGTAGGATTGCTAGGCAGATGTTCTGACTTCTCCAGTATGCTGTCCTTAACATGGCTTTTCCTCATCTTTTGTGCTGCCTACTTACTTGCTGAAGCTGTTCAGCTGATACGCAATAAACTGTATTTTCCTTAGCATTCAGGCCTAGTGCTGGCTGGAATAACTAAAATGCAAAGCAAGTTGTGCATTTGTTTTGCACTGTTTAGGAGCTATCTAAAATACTCGGAAGCGTGTGGTGGTTCTTATTTTTGTTCCATTTCCTCAATCCTCTGTTATAAGTGCACTTTCGCTTGCTAATCTGCTGTCTGAAATACTCTTTGTTCAGGAAAGCAAGTCTATTTCTGTTGTAATCAGGGCTAAGAATTCAGCTGCAGGGTCACTTGCACTGCAGAGTTCACTGACCACGTTTTGCTGCTGGCAGTCCCAGCTTTGGCCCTTTACACAGATCAATGCCAGGCTAACCCCATTTATTGCTACTACTGAATCAAAGCTCTGCTGCTCCTACTTAATTTAGCTCAAAATAGACATAATGCAAACAAGCGTCAGCATGGCAAAAGAGCGAGAAGAAGGGGGGGGAAGAAAAAAGGCGTGCAGTTGTTTGGGTTTTGATTTGTAGTTTTTTTGAATTGAAGATACCAAATGGTGCCAGGATTCAGAAGAGAGGAATTTGTTTGTACTGTGTTATTAGACTCTTTATAAAAAATAGTAGTCATCATTGATTCTCATCTGTGCAGTAGAGTTTGTCTGTCTGTCTTGCATTTCCTTTTTGTGTTTTGAAAATCTCTTCTAATTTAACAGCTTAGGCACACATTCTGATTTCTTCTGGGTTTTGTAGTCCCACTGATATCACTTGCAGTTTGCGTTGTCTTGGTCACACGAGGTGGGCCTCCATCCTTGCTACTGGGTACCCATCACCAGTTACTTCTGTTTGAGCTTCATGGAAACGTCCAGACCGGCTTGTGGTCAGGTGAAGTTACTGTTGGCAGGAGTGCTGTTCTTGGTGAAGCTACAATGGTGTTGAACCCTTTGTGAGGTTCATCCTGGTGAGGTTTTGTTTAAGGGAATAGGGTAGGTATTGCACTTTGTGACTGCACTATAACTCTTCTCTGCAGCTGTGGCACACCTCAGTCTGAGAAAACATTGGGATCCTGAGGACGTTACTTGGAGCTGAGATGACAGGACCTTTATGGCGTGGTTGGCAACCCGCCACTGTTTCCAGCTAGGACTGGATTTATGAATTCCACTGCCACACCTCATTCCACACAGCTTTCAAATATGTGGAGTAAGGCACACACATACCCTCGCTGCTTGTTGGCTCCTGGGCTGCAGCCCTGTTCCCTCTACGAGGCAGCATGGATGGAAATCCTGAGATTTAATGTTTCTGATAAACACAAAGAGATCCCATCCTTCCACTGCGCTCCTTCCTCTAACTCATCCCCCTCAGTTGTGCAGCTCCAGGGCACCACTCAGCAGAAATCAAGTGTTCAGCGTGGGTATGTATATAATGGGATTTAAGATGACAGCCATGAGACAAATCCATCATTTAGGAATTGTTGAAGTTAATTTCTGCCCCCTCTGCTACATGCTCATCACAGGTCTTCTGAAACTTTTCCTGTTTGCTCTAAGTGCTCTTACTCATTACAATTCAGCTGTTCCTGAAGGCAAACTTTTGTTCTGTGGAAGAGACCAAAGCAAAGATTGAATGTTTTTTGTGTTTCACCACCCTTCTCCACACTCTTGCAAATTAAATGCCTCCTCCTCCAGCCTACCCTTTTCTCTTCTGGCAGGGCTCTGTTGCCCCAACAAGGGAAGCTTTGTCTTACTTCTCCCACTCCCAGCACATGCTTGGCTTCCCCATTGCCTTCTGTTTTTGCCTCTTGGAGACCCTGCAGTCTCCCTGCTTTCCTGCCCAGTATTTTGGGACAGAGCTGCAGGTGTCCTGTACCACCTTCCTGGACAAAGGCTGGGCAGCGCATGAAGTCCTAGGCTTTCTGGCCTTTTCTCCAAGCCTGCCCACTTCCAGAGTAAGTCCTTTGAGGGTTGTCCTCCAGATTTAATCTGGATCTGCTCTTTCAACACCTTGAGATGCGTTACTATGTGACTGTCCTTTCATGAGCTGTTAAGTATTCCTCCTGTGATGCTTCCTTCCACTTCTCAGGTGTCTGTTGGAAGTTAGTGGTTTTGTTTTTATTTTTATTCACAGTAAGGCAGTACTTTTGTGAAAAACAGCCTAAGTGTTGGGAGCCCGCTGCATGGTGCATTTGATTTGAGCATTCTCCATAGCATGCAATGTCTTGTTCCCTGTGTGCCTGGGAAAAGCCTCCAGTGGTGTCTCCTTGGTAAATAAGGGACAGTGTCTCAAAATCATTGTTTGTTGTGAGGTTTGCTCTTTTTTTTTTTCTTTTCTTTTTTCTTTTTGTGGTTTTGGTTGTTTTGGTTTTGGTTGTTTTGTTTTAGGTAGAGGTAGGATTCCATTCCTGCCTACTTTGTGTAGAAAATATTTTTTAACCCATTTTTTTTTCCCCTTGGAAGTTAAACTGACTTCGCTATATTAAGTCAGTTAGATTTGTTTGGAAATCAAACAAATTTTGATGTATGAGGGCTGCTGAGAAAGTAATGCCTATTTTAAGATGTTGGCCTGTGACATCTGAGGCGGATGTTGGTGCTGTGGCAGTAGATGTTGAATCTTCCCACCAATATCCCAGTATCTACATAACGCGTGTTGTTGCTGTGTGACAGATGGCAGCAGAGGGGGAATCTGACAAATTGGCGTCTGATATGGAAGTGCCTTTGAAGCAGTGGTCTGTCAATGAATTCCTCTGTGTGGAAAAAATGGTATCAGATCTTAAATTATCATGTCTTCTAAGCATGTAATTATTATGTACTCAAACTGTTCTCCTTAATATGTCCTGCCCAGTCCTTGTGGCTTGATCCTTCTCTGAAGTATTTTTTTTGTCTGTTGCAAAAGCCAGGTGTAGTTCAGAACGGTTAATTTTGGACCTGAGCTGTTTATAGAGGATGTGTCCCCTTGTTAGCATGGTCTTACTAGTTCGTACCACTGGTTATTACCGCTCAAGATGCTCACTGGATTTGATTTCTGTGGCTCTTGTTAGGTGATGTCTTCCCCCCAGACAGATAAAAGATTTTTTCAGATGTTGTTTTGAATGAGGACAGTTTCACTTAAGCTTACTGCCTCAGCAGTGGTTAAATTATGCTAACTAACCTCTTGGCAACGGCCAGCTTCTCCAAGAACTCAGTTACAGAATAACCAACCAAAAAGAGAAATTTCATACCTGAACTCTTTCCACATGGGGTTGATCCAGTTCTTGCCAGTGGCAGTGCATGCCCTTAGGTTGTCTGATGTAGCTTCTGTTTTAAAAACGAAGCAACTTTGTGTAATATAAGCTTGGCTTTTATTTTCTTCGTAAAGCTGCCTGTTGCCCTTTTTCTTTCTAGCTGTCTCAGAATTGTCTCATTTGGTCGTTTGGAAGAATACAGAAATATTGCTGGCTTCTATGTCATAGTATACGTATCTTTAGCATGAGTTTGCTAATGTGTCTTTATTTCTTGCTTGTCAATTTGAAATGCATGTTATATGTTAGAAATGTTAAAAGCAAATAGCTAGAGAAAGTTAAAGTAGATATTTTTTGCTGAGTGACAGATATGGTCTTTAATGCTTCTTTTG